CGTTACGGTCAGCTCCGGTGGACTCGAGTCCTGCCGCAGTCGACGCTCGCACACGTCGTGAGCTCAACAGCACTCGGAAACACATGCCTACAACTCGTTCTCCATGACGCCTACAGCTTGTCTTTGTTGATGCTCGTGAAATACCCGCTACTCGCTTGCGCGTCACCAACCTGTCGTTTGCCAGCGTCGCCCAGCGCCCCTGCGCACACGTCGCCTGTCAGCGTCCGCGATTCCCACGCAAAATATCGCAACCCAAGCGAGTTTCATAATATACCACGAGATTTTTCTCACCAAACTACCTACAAACCTCGCGACCAAGCTTGTGCCCCTCGAAAAAGCCGTCTGTCTCGCGAGTGTTGTGTCATGCCTTGCCACGCCCAGCACGTTCGCGCCCGCGAAGAAGTTCGCCCAGCCCGCGGTGTTCTTCCTTATGCGACCTGGCCCCGCGCTTGCAAAGACTTTCGCCCATCCCACGAGTGTGCTTCTAGCAAGACCTCGCCCATTGTCTGCATGCCATCACCCGCATAGCAGTGCGCCAACGCCTGCAGACTCCCGCACGACCTCGTCCAATGCCCGCCCGACCCGAACATTATCTCGCGAGTTTTGCGCCCAACAAAATTTTTCGCCCAGACCACGAGTTTTCTTCAATAAATGTGTATTTTTCAGTGTGTGTATTTTATCTAGTAGTATAAACGGACGTAGTCATGTGCGGATCTACATTTAGTCTAGTGGGCACCTAGGCCTTCACTCAAACATTAAGTAAAAATATTTAAATAAGTATTTTTATTTATTTGAAAATTACATTAAAATTAACAAAACTAATTTTCCAAAAGGAAAAAACTTGGATCGATTCACTTTACAACTTTTGACTGTTTTGTAGCGGTTCGAACCAAAATGACCAATTTATTGATTTCAGCTCCAACCAGTTCGATTCAATAACTTGTTCTAGAAAAGTCCATACCATTATTATAGGAAAGTCTATATTGCCAATACTATCATTAAAAATTTCATATATAAAAAAATCCATATGGATCATTATATAAAATTAACTATCTTCGATTTTCCATTTGTTGGTAATAATAAAATATTTGATATTATAACTATTCAATAAAATGCATGATTTCAACAGGTTTGATTATCACGATCAACATCCATCTTGATCGAATAAGTGGCGGGACAAGCAATTTTATTTTTTTTACTTGATTATCGAACAAGTAAAGAATGATAGGTTGTTAGATCGTACCACTAACCATAACTAGTTTAATCGAGATTAGGAGAATCATCTTTGCGCTGTGATCAAATAGGTGAACCATTTCTATAATCTTTTCCTTTGGTTGGATATTTTCTCTATTTTGAACCACTCGTTTTGTTTCCAAATCTAGTTAGATTTTATTTTATTT